GAGCATACATCAGACTGCCAACAATAGAAGAGTGTAAGGAATTGATTCCATTTGTTTTCGTTCAAAATCATTCTTAGGGCATTGCATGAGACTAAATTTGTCCCATTTTTAAATTGGAACAATTCCTGCTGAACAGTTATTCATGTTAACTCTCTCTAGAATTCTTTCGATAAAGCCTTTCTGAGACAATCCCAATAATCCTTGTGATCTATCACGAAATATTTCTATTCCTATCACATAGGATGCCTCACCCATATCTTTCATTTCAAAATTCTTAGAGAGAAAATCTTTAGTCTCAACGCAATATGCCTAAATCATTAGCAGCAAGTAGAATATCGTCAACATATAGGACTAAAAATATAAACTTGCGCCCACTGATCTTTTGGTATATACACCGATCAACGATATTTTCCACAAATACAAAAGATGTTATGGTATCATTAAACTTTATATACCATTGTCATGAGGCTTGTTTGAGTCCAAATATTGACTTCTTTAGTTTACACACCATTTGACCTTTTCCTTTAGTTTTGAAACCCTCTGGTTCGTCCATATAAACTTCCTCCTTGAGGTCTCCATTAAGAAAAGCAGTTTTCACATCCATTTGGTGTAACTCTAAATCATAATGAGCCACCAAAGTCATAGTAATTCTTAACGAGTCTTTCTTTGAGACCCGTGAAAAGGTCTCTTTATAATCAATGCCTCCTTTCTGAGTATAACCCTTGGTAACAAGTCTGGCTTTGTATCGTTCAATATTGCCATTTGAATCGTGTTTGGTCTTAAAGACCCATCTACACCCGATTCTTTTAGAAATTTCTAGCAATTCAACGAGATCCCAGACTTTATTGTATTCCATGAATTTTAGCTCTTCCTTCATGGCATTAATCCATTTGTCAGACTCATTACTTTCTATGGCTTGTGAAAATGAAACCAGATCCTTATTAAGATCAATGTCAAAATCTGACTCTTGCAAATAAAGCACATAATCATCTGAAATAGCCGATTTTCTAACTCTTTGAGATTTTCTTAATGGCATTTCTTGTGGTTCATTTGTGTCAGATATTTGTGATTTAGTTTCTTCATGAAGTGGTTCATCCAAATGTTGTTCGGTGTTGTCAAAGTGTTCTTCAACAACTGGAATAATATTTGGTATTTGTGTGGAAGTAGGCACATTCGTGGGTAATGGAATATTGACCCTCACCTCTTTTATTTCCACACTTTGTTTTTCAATACTCCCACTAACTTCACCTCTCAATGAATTTTGCATTGCCGGTCAAACTATGGTTTGGACAGTAAAACACATACCCTTTAGATTTCTCTAGGTAACCAATAAAGTAACCACTTACTGTTCGAGAATCTAATTTCTTTTCTTGTGGATTATAAATTCTAGCTTCTGTTGGGCAACCCCAAACATGCAGGTGCCTTAAACTAGGTTTTCTTCCTGTCCACAGTTCAAAAGGGGTCTTTAGAACTGCCTTACTAGGAACCCTGTTTGATAAATATACAGCGGTTTTAAGAGCATACATCCACAATGATTTGGATAATGAGGAATTACTCATCATGCTCCTAACCATATCCATAAGTGTTCGATTACGCCTTTCTGCAACACCATTTTGTTGAGGTGTTCCTGGCATAGTATACTGTGCATATGCCATGTTTCTCTATGAACTTTGCAAATGGACCTGGACATTGTCCCGATTCATTATATTTTACATAATATTCCCTTAATGCAATCCAAACATATAGTAAGATCAGTAAAATTTAGATTCGGAAAAATCTCATTATTTACTAATCTTTCTAACCTTTCTTTGGATATATGACCCAAACGTCTATGCCACAAGTAAGTAGAACTTCCATCTAGTGAACTACGTTTAATTCCAACATTAAGTTGAACAGTAAGAAGGGATTCAGAAAAATCAATATCAAGTTTCAATTTATATAAACCGTCACTAAGAAAACCAGAACCATAAAAAATAGCATTCTTATATAACTTGAAACATCAATTTCCAAACTTTAAATCAAATCTAGAAACATCAAGTCTTGAAAGAGAAATCAAATTCCTAGAAACTGAAGGTACATAAAGAGTCTGCGTAATAGATCAAGGTGACGTCCAGTCTCCATGATCAAACGATAAGTTCGTATGCCTTCAATTGGAGCCTTCATACGATTTCCCATGAACAAGAAATCCTTATTTGGATTTGTAGTTTGGATCGTAAGGAATCCCTTTCTTTTCGAACCAAGCTTTACGTTTCAGGCAATCTTTCTGATAGTGTCCTTCCTTGTTACAGAAACGACACGTATCTACCTTATGTTCCTTGTTAGCATCAGGTGGAGCTTTAACAGGTGCTTTCTTCTTCTTGAACTTATTGCCTTCACTTTAAGTCCTTTACCAGCTCATTGATCCATGAGGTTAATTGAATGACTCCCTTGTTTCTTAAGTCTTGACTCCTCCTAAGTAAGCATACCGGATAATTCACTAACATTCCGCTTATCCTTAATAGTGCTATAGTTAATTTGAAAAGGTCCATACTCAGGAGGCAACGAGTTCAGAATAAACTGAACCAAGAAGGAGTCATCAACTTTCATCCCAAGGTCTGAAGTCTTGCTGCAATGTTAGTCATCTCGATGATATGGTTTTGCATACTACGCGACCTATCAAACTTCATGGTCGTGAGTTTAGCCATTAGTGTACCAGCAAGAGACTTATCTGCAGAACGAAAACGTTCTTCCACAAACTTCAGCTGGCACTTTCTGTTTGTGGAATAGTACTCTTTATGTTGTTAGCAATACTCATTCGCATAAACATAAGGCTCAGCCTGTTAGAGAGTTCCCATGCTTTATAGAAAGACTTCTCATCCGCATTGCTCGTATCAGCAATGGCAGCGGGCTTATCATTCAGCAGAGCCAAGTCAAGATCCATTACACCTAAGTGGAACTGGACCTGTTCATGCCATTCAGATAAGATCAATCTGTTGAATACGGTAACAGACGAAGCATGCGAATGAAGAGGAATAGCTGCAAAATAGATAATACATGCTCACAAATCAATATGGATTCAGTAAAATAATAAAAGTATATCGCAATTCTCCTTTGGGTAAATACTATGACACACTATCATAATTTAAATGCCATTTAGTCTGTAGTAGGCAATTAAATATTTTTAACCAAACATATATGGCATCTTTGGACAGAAAATATATATTTGATTAAATAATATTAATTTACCCCATCATACTCACTATTCATCGAATAATTGATCCGTCTTTGAGTAAATCCTTAAGTTCTAGCAATAGTGAAAGTTAGTTTATCCATTTATTCAATAATAGGCATTTCATTAGTTTTATGGATAAACTATAATTTTAACTGTAATTTTATGTATGCATGTTTTTCATAAATATACTAGTTTAGCCACTTTGGCGGCTAACAAACTATATAAACATAAATGCACACATAAAATAGATATCACAAGATTTATATATGTGAATACTTTAAACATTCTAGTTTGATCATTTTGGTGACGAACAGACTATATAATTTTAAGCACATACATTAATTATTGTTTAAAATAAGAAGCACTTTCTGTGAATAACGTTAAATATCTAATACTTAATCCTTAGATGGCACAGAATATTTTCAAACATGTAGCGGAAAGTATCAATATTCATACCAACATATTGGTTCTTCATAATAAATCCTTCTTGTATTTTATTTAAATAAAAGTTAAAAAAAATGACCCCAAATTGCTTAAAGACAGTAACAGTCATAAGCACTTTCCATAATTAAAAGCAATAACATCATTTAATGCACAACAAAAATATACTCCCTCCGGTCCAAAATAAGTGTTTTTTGGCTTTTTTCTTGTGGTCCAAAATAAGTGATTTTTTCAGATTTCAAGAATGAATTAATTATTTTTTTCTTACATTGTCCTTGGAGTAAATAGTGTTGGAAGATGTGTTAGGAGTGTTTATGTGAGATAGTAAAGGTTAATATGGTCAATTCTATTGCTAATTAATGCTAAAAGGTGAATTTCTTAATATGTGTGAAAACATCCAAAAAATCACTTATTTTGGACCGGAGGGAGTACTATATATATCTCAACACTTCAATGTCAAAACCCAAAGATCAATATCATGATTCTTGGTACAGACGCTTCATTAGCTATCCTTTTGTTTTAATTAGTCAATCAATAACTGTCTAGTAATACTTTATATTGGTGACTTATAAACTTTAGATGTTAGAGAAACCTTTAAAGTAGACATTATCAGTAAACATTATAATGATTTATTATCGATGCCGCCTCAGATTCTAAAGCAGTACAAATTATAATGGCGCATTGAAAGCAATTCAATAATCACCTCGGAACAGTTATACATACATCATAATCCAGTCTTTCTTTCAAGAAAATTATCCGTTCAAATATCCAGGCTCGGATACCACATGTAAACATAAATACTTTAATTCATACCAGGAACATGACAATCTTACATAAAATTGTTACAGAAAAAATACCTGAATCATAAGCCATTATCACAAAGCGGAAGCGTTAATTAGAATTGATTTCCCGCCCCTTGCTCTAGCTTTCGTTACCGTCGACGCGAGGAGGGGACCAATTTATAGAGGTTCTCACTTAATCCGGTACGTCCATCAAGTAATCTATTGGACGGATCAGATTTGCTCATTAATTAAATATTAATTATGACCATAAATTTATTGGGCCACCAATAAATATAGAAAATCTTACAGACCCCACTTGTGGGATTACACTAAGTTCTTGTTGTTGTTGTTTAAAACATCTGAAGTAGGACCTCATTAGACAAAATCGTGACACTGTCTTGACCTTTTCATAAATCAAAATTGGAGCAACTCGTTGAATTTAGTTGCTCATTCCTTGTCTTTGCCAGTGTCAGCCAAGATTATTTGTTGCCCACTGGTTCCATTGGTATAAATGCAATTCATTATTCAATTTCATTACTGCACTTCATAATATATAATGCTTCACTATGAAAATATCACTCATTCTACAGCTTTCTTCCATCACTGTGCTGGTGGTGTTTCTAATTAGTTCTAATATTTCTCCCGTATATGGTCATTGTTTGCGCGATCAAAAGGCCTTGTTGCTTAAACTCAAGAATGGACTTACATTTGATTCTTCTTTGTCAACCAAACTAGACAGATGGGATCAAAACACTGACTGTTGCCAGTGGCCCGGCGTAAGTTGTGATCAGAAAGGTCATGTTCTTGTTCTGGAACTGGACAATGAAACAATTTCTGGCGGAGTTGAGAATTCAAGCAGTCTATTCGATCTTAAGTATCTTGAGAAGCTGAATTTGGCTTATAATCAGTTAGACGCTGTTCAAATACCAATAGAAATTTATAAGCTCAAAAACTTAACCTACCTGAATTTTTCATATGCTGGTTTTGACGGGCAAATTCCAATGGAGTTGTCATGATTGACACAGTTAGTGTTTCTTGACCTTTCTTATAATTATTGTTTGAAGCTTGAGAGCCCGGATCTGAAAACACTGGTTGGAAACCTAACAAATCTTGAAAAACTTTATCTTGACGACCTAAATATTTACATGAATGGAACTGAGTGGTGCTGGGCTTTGTCTTCGTCTCTACTTAAGTTGAGAGTGTTAAGCATGACGCGTTGTGCCATTTCAGGTCCTCTTGATCCCGTCTTTCTAAAGCTCCATTTCCTAGCAGTCATTCGTCTCGATCACAATGACATGTCTACTATTGATCTTGAATTGCTAGCTAATTTTACAAAATTGACTACCCTTAGTCTCATGAGCTGCAACTTGCGCGGTTCATTTCCTAGTAAAATCATTCAGGTACCAACTCTACAGGATCTTGATTTATCATATAATGAAAACCTTATTAGCACTTTACCTGAATTTCCACAGAAAAGTGCATTAAGGGAATTAGTGCTTAGCCACACAGGTTTCACTGGTTCACTTCCAAATTCAATTGCTAACTTAAGAAGTTGCAATTTTAGTGGACATATTCCATCAAATTTGGGAAATCTCACAGACCTGATTCACTTAGACTTGTCATTCAATAACTTTACTGGATCAATCCCACTCTTTCATAAGGCAAAGAAGCTCAATCACATTGACCTTTCTAATAACAATGGTCCACTTTCTTCTGCTCAAACTCAATTATCAGTTCTCCTTTTTCTCCCCTCATTGCAGTTCCTTAGTATTCAAAAGAGTCATTTACGCGGAAAAGTCCATGAATTTTCAAATGCATCCTCTTCTGTTCTGGAAACACTTGATTTGAGTAATAATCATCTAAATGGATCGATCCCTCGGTCTATCTTTATACTCAAAAGGCTTTCAGAACTCTCACTTTCTTCCAACTCCTTTAGTGGGACCATTAATATCGAAGCGATAAAGGGACTTCCTAAGCTAACCAACCTTGACCTTTCTTACAACAACTTGAGAATTGATATACATGATAGTAATTCAACCTCATTACCCTTTCCAGTTGAAATGAGCAACCTGAGGTTGGCTTCATGCAGTTGCAAAAGTTTCCGGATCTTAAAAACCAATCGTTGTTTGTCGAATTAGACCTTTCAGACAACAAAATTAGAGGGGAAATACCTAGTTGGGTTTGGACAGTTGGATATCTGAATCTTTCTCACAATCTTCCAGAGTCTCTAGAAAAACCTTACCATATATCTACCACTCCTAGGTGTATTGGGGAAAATTATATTTATGTATATGGCGACGTGTCATGACATATAGACTGGTCAAACAGTCAAAGAAATAAGGTTGGTTAACAGATACGAGCAACAGCAGATACGAGCAACAATAGATACGAGTAAATTAAATGGAGGGGGTGCGAGCAGTCATACAAGTAATTCAATGCTCGTACCTATTCAAGACATTTAAAACTCAAAGATAGTGAAGAATCAAAGGAATGAATCTGACAGCAAAAAGGAGCCCAGATACAGCATTTAATGAGTATTAATTATTGGAAACATTAGAAAATATGTATTTAATGTATATGATTGTATAACGTAACATTTAAAGTCATTAATTGCCCATAATAGCATTATTATGATAAAGGTAAGACTCGTATCCCAAAAGAGCTATAAAAAGGGAAGAAACAAACAATTGTAGGGGGAGGTGACTATTGGAATATACTTTGATTTACCAGCTTTCATACTTGGCTATTTTAAAATTTCTTTCTTTATTTACTTTTTGATTATCAGTAACCCGATTCTTCTAATTTATAGCTTTGACTAAAAAACTTATTTTTTAGTTAAACAAATTGGTTCCGTTACCGGGAATCTGATAATCAATTATATTTCAATTTGATTTTCTTGATTGCATCAATCATGTCAAACAACAATGACAACACTCAAGGAAACCCAGAAAATCAAACAATCCAGCAATTTCAGGGAGACTCACCACGAGGCTCTCCACAAGGCTCTCCACGAGGTTCCCCATGACGGTCTCGTGAAGGCACTCCTGATGGATCTCACACAGATGGACAGGCTCAATTTGAAAATATCGAAACCATGAATGAGGCTTTGCAAAAACTTATTTCCTCTCAAGTCAATAAAGCTCTTCTGGCTTTTGTTAGCCAATTACCTGTTGCTCCACCCACATCTACTCCAAACAACAATACTTTGGAGAATCCTCGTTCTGGGTTGATTAATTCAGGCAGTGGTGGAACCCCTAGTGAAACACAAGAGGGAGACCCAGGTAATCCAGTTAATTCTGATTTACAAAATCTAGTACTAACCTTGCAGAAACAGCTTAAGGAGCAAAATGAACGCATAGAACAAATACTTGGAGTACCGCCCGTGATCAAGGGAGTAGATATAGATAAATATTCCCAACAACCATGGAAGCCAAGTGCTGCTCCCCTCCCAATTCCAAAGAAGTTTAAGATGCCTGATATTCCAAAGTATGATGGTACATCAGATCCACGAGATCACGTTACTGCGTTCACAACAGGTGTCAAGGGCAATGATTTGACTAAGCAAGAGATTGAGTCGATCTTGGTCAAGAAATTCGGTGAAACACTCACTAAAGGGGCCTTAACATGGTATTCTCTTCTACCTGAACATTCTATAAATTCGTTTGCTGAGCTTGCAGATTTATTTATCAAAGCACACTCGGGAGCTCAAAAAGTTGAAAAGCGAATGAAAGACATCTTCAAAATCAAGCAAGGAGACTCAGAGTTGCTTAGAGAGTTCGTAGATAGATTTCAACGGGAAAGAATGACGCTGCCACGAGTACCTGACAATTGGGCAGCCATAGCCTTTGCTAGTAATTTGAATGAGAAGAGTTCAGAAGCCACGAGGCGTCTCAAAGAAAGCCTTCGAGAATTCCCAGCAACAACGTGGAATGATGTCTACAACAGATACAGTACTAAGATGAGGATTGAAGAAGACATTATTTTACGACATAAAACAGAACAAAAGGTAAGCTCAAGGCGTGTGGAAAATGAAAAGAGATCCGGTAAAAACAGGTACGAGCCATACATGGGACTTGCGGGAAAAGACTCACGATCAAGGCAAGATAATCAAAGGTACGATCACAAACCTAGAAACAAGGAATCAGGCTCCTCATCGAGGTTCGGAAATGATCGGAATACACGCGAGCCACGAGACAATGATGGAAGTCTAAAGGCAAGGTTCGGTGGTTACAACTTCAACATAAGCACCTCTGAACTCGTGGCTGTTTTAAGAAGCATGTGAGATAAGGTACGATGGCCAAAGGAAATGCGATCGAATCTGAACAGACGAAACCCTGATCATTGGTGCGAATTTCATAACGATCATGGGCATAAAACAGCAGATTGCAGGTTTCTGCAAGGTGAAGTTGATCATTTGTTAAAACAGGGATATCTTACTGAGTTGTTCAGTGAGAAAGGTAAACAAGCATACATGAAGAACAGGCAGGAGCCTCCAAAACCACCTTCGCCCAAGAGAATTGTCAACGTTATAAGTGGGGGTGAAAAGATCAATGATGTATCATATAAAAAGGTTTCAAAAGTAACAAGTACCCACGGGAAGCGGCCTCGACATGTACTGGAAGAGGAGAATGTTATATTCAACAACGCAGACGTCGAGGGACTCATAACTCCACATAACGACGAACTGGTAATATCTTTACTTGTACATGACACTAACGTGAAACGAGTTTTGGTTGATCCAGGTAGTTCTATAAACATTGTTTTAATACGAGTATTGCGCGAGATGCAAGCGGAGGAGAAATTAATTCCAAAAGCGCATACTTTGTCGGGATTTGATAACTCTAGTGTTGTAACAAAAGAGGAGGCAATACTTACTACATTCGCAGAAGGCGTCATTAAAGATACCAAATTTCAAGTTGTAGATATGGAAATGGCTTACAATATGATTCTTGGGAGGCCATGGATTCATGACATGGAAGCTGTTCCTTCAACTTTACATCAAGTTATTAAATTTCCATCTCCATGGGGAATATGCCAAATCAGAGGCGATCAACAAACATCTAGAAGCATCAATTCCGTTGCAGATTCAACTGATAAGGGTGAAGACGAATAGCAATTACAAAATTTAGGTGAGGGTAACACGGAGTCAACCTCACCTGAGCAAAAGCAAACAGATGTGGATTCGAGACCTGATACCATTCAAGAACCGGAGGAGAACGAGAACATCAAAACAACGATAGAAGAGCTAGAGGTCGGGGTGTTATTTATACATTGGCCCGAGAGAAAAGTGTACGTAGGAGCTAATCTTAGCCCGGAGGTAAAACGTAAATTGATTGAATTTTTAAAAGCTAATGCAGATTGTTTTGCTTGGTCCCATTCTGACATGACAGGGATACCACCGGAAGTCATGACTCATAAGTTGAATGAAGATCCATCATATCCTCCCGTCAAGCAAAAGAAAAGAAAGCAAGGAACTTTCAAAAATAAGGTGATTCAAGAGGAAGTTCAAAAATTGCTAAAAATTGGTTCAATTCGTGAGGTAAAATATCCTAACTGGTTAGCTAATACTGTTGTGGTTCCTAAGAAGAACGGTAAGTGGCGAGTCTGTGTAGATTACACAGACCTTAATAAAGCCTGTCCAAAAGATTCTTTCCTTTACCGCACATAGATCAGTTAATTGATGCTACTGCAGGGCATGAGCTATTAAGTTTTTTAGATGCATATTCAGGCTATAATCAAATCAAGATGGATCCAGGAGATGAAGAAAAAACTTCTTTTATAACAGACAGGGGGACTTACTGTTACAAGGTAATGCCCTTCGGTCTTAAGAATGCAAGTGCAACGTATCAAAGGTTGGTCACCCAAATGTTTCAAGAACATTTAGGTAAAACCATGGAAGTATATATAGATGATATGCTAGTTAAGACTCAACATTCAAAAGATCATATATCGCACCTATCTGATACGTTTAAAATTTTACGAAAATATAATATGAAGTTGAATCCAGAAAATTGTGCATTTGGTGTGGCATCAGGTAAGTTTTTAGGTTTTCTTGTTTCTAACCGTGGTATTGAAGTGAGTCCTGCACAGATTAAGGCCATTGAAGAAATCCCTGATATACTTTCCAACAAGAAAGAGGTTCAAAGACTAACAGGAAGAATCGCAGCTTTTGGAAGGTTCATTTCTAAATCATCGGAAAAATGTTTTAAATTCTTCTCGGCTCTTAAGAAGCAGGATCATTTTGAATGGGATGAGGAGTGTCAACAAGCACTTAAGGATTTGAAAATATACTTGTCAAATCCACCTTTGCTAGCAAAACCCAAGGCTGGGGAGAAACTTTTCATCTACCTTGCTGTTTCAGAAGTTGCGGTAAGCACGATTTTGGTTCGAGAAGAGCAGGGTAAACAATCTCCTATCTATTATGTTAGTAAATCTTTGTTAGATGCAGAGACACGGTATCCACAAGTGGAAAAATTAGCACTTGCTCTAATCATGGCATCTAGGAAGTTAAGACCATATTTTCAATGTCTTCCCATTTTTGTAGTGACTGCGTACCCCCTACGTAATATATTGCATAAATATGAATTGTCAGGAACGTTAGCTAAATGGGCCATAGAGCTAAGTGAATATGAAATCACGTACTTACCTAGAACAGCAATAAAATCACAGATATTAGCTGATTTCGTGGCTGACTTTAGCCAAGGGATGCAACTAGAAGCAGAAAAAGAAGTATAAGTACTTAATGGGGCTAATCCAGGAACATGGACCTTATTTACTGATGGCTCATATAACGTAAAAGGTGCAGGATTAGGAATTGTTTTAGTACCACCTACGGGTGAAACTATTAGGCAAGCTATTAAATGTCATTCCGTAACTAACAATGAAGCGGAGTATGAAGCTATGATTGCAGGTTTAGAATTGGCACGAGAACTTGGTATAAATCAAGTAGTGATCAAAAGTGACTCGCAACTCGTGGTTAATCAAATGCTAGGGACTTAAACAGCTAGGGAAGCAAGGATGCAATAGTACTTGGAAAAGGTACGGGAACTGATAAAGCAATTCCAAACTTGGAAGGTCATACAGATATCGAGGGATGAAAATGTTGAAGCAGATGCCTTAACTAATCTCGCATCCGCAG